AAAAAGAAAGGATTGAAAAAGATCCTAAAGGAAAAAAAGAAAAGAAAAGTCAAAAGAAAAAGAAAGAAAGAGAAAAAATGAAAAATATACAAGGAGATGACTAATAAAAAATTGGCTCCACTTGAACAAAATTAAAGAAAGAAACTTAATTACATTTTTGAATTACGGCTTAAAGTATTAGTATCCTTACTAATAAAGTACTCATAAAGTTAGTTTTACTGTAATACTTCTAAGTATTCAAAATATGACAAAATTATAGTTATTCTTGAAATAAATAAAAAATCATAACTCTTCGGCTTAACTACTAAGTATTCTTACATTTTAGTTTTAACCCGAGTCATTAAAAAATTTATTCTAAAGTTTCACTATCACATTTATAAATAAAAAACTATATAAATCTCTAAGTTAAACTCACTTCCACAAGTTTTAATTTTTATATTATGGTTAATATGAACATAAATATCTTATGTATTCAAGAAACTAATTGATTTGGAGAAAAAGGCTAAGGAAATTAATAAGTTAGTTTTTAAACTTTGGTATTCAGGTAGGAGTCGCACTAGAAATGATGTAGGTGTATTTATAGATCAGAATTTTAAAGATAATATTGTAAAAATTGGTATAGTTAGAAGTATAATTATATCCCTTAAGATTGTTATTGATAGTAAGATTTTAAATGTTATAAGTGCTTATGCTCCTCAAATAGGTTTAGATATAGGTTCTAAGGAAAAAATATGGATTGGCCTAGAAGAATTAATGCAAATGATACATCTTGAAGAGAGATTTTTTATTTGTGGAGATTTAAATAAACATATTGGTAGAGTGGTAGAAGATATTAGAAATATTCGTGTTGGTTGTGATTTTGGAGTGATTGATAAAGAAAACAGAGTCATATTAGATTATGCTTCAGCATATGATTTTATTACTATTAATACTTTATTTAAGAAAAGGAATGAACATAATATTACTTATAAGAGTGGATTTAATAAAACTCAGATTGATTATTTTCTCATGAGAAGAAGAGATCACCGAGAATGAAAAGATTGTAAGGTCATTCCAAGTGAAATTTCAACTACTCGATATCAATTATTAGTTTTGGAGTTTAAGATGAAAAGTTGTAAGATAAAGAATATTGGGAATCATTGTCATAGAATTAGATGAGGGCCCCTAAAAGACAAATAAAGTTATTATTATGAATAAACTTTAATTTTTCAAGATTTGGGATATTCTTGAAGAAATAAATTATGTGGCATAATGTAACAAGCACTATCAAATAAGTGACAAAAAAATATATGTGGATAATAATAAATAAATAAAAATAGTTTGTGGTGGAATAACAATGTGAAGGAAAAGATAAAATACAAGAAGTTATGTTAAAAAATTGTTTTGAATGTGAAAGCTTAGAGAATTGGAAAATTAATAATGACCTCTAGAGAGTTTAAGAAAAAAGTTTGAGTTGCTAAAAATTCCTATTTTAGTGATTTTTATAATAGATTAGATATTGAGAGATTAAAAAATATATGTATAAATAGAGCAAACGAAGAGAAAAGAGAAAAAAAAAACTTAAGTAAAGTGTATGAAAGATGAAAATAAAGAAAATGCTTCTCTTAGAAGAATATATTCAATATAGATGGATGAGCCATTTTGATAAACTTTCAATGAAGTTTCTAAAATTAGAATCAACTTTAATAATCTTAATCGTTAATAATAATAGATGTTTTATTTTACTATCACTATTTTTAAAAAGAATTTAAAGGAGGTTTTAAATTAAAAACCAAAGGTGGATAATTTGTATGATTTGATGATATCCTAATTGAGGTGTAGAAACATTTAAGAGAATTGGGAGTTTCTTAGCTTACAAAACCGTTTAATATTATTTTAAGAACTAAAATGATGTCTGAGGAGTGGAGAGAAACTATTTTGGCCCTTATTTTTAAGAATAAAGGGGATGCACTAGAGTGTGCAAATTATACAAGAATTAAGTTGATGTGTCATACTGTAAAATTTTATGAGAGGGTAATTGAACATAGGTTAAGAAGTGTTACAAAGACTTCTCATAATCAATTTTAATTTATGTCGGGCAGCTCTACTATGGAAGCTATACTTTTATTCTGAGTTTTGATGTAGAAGAATATACAGAAAAAGGATGATTTTTATTGATTTAAAAAAGCTTAGGATAAGGTTCCAAGAGAAGTTCTTTGGAGAGTTCTAGAGAAGAAAGATGTTGATATGACGTATATTCAAGTCATTAAAGATATGTGTGTTAGAGCTGTTACATGTGTTTGAATAGAAGAAGTATTGACCATTTATTTTTCTATTTAAGTTGGATTACATCAAGGATAAACCTTAAGCCCATATCTTTTTCCCTTTAGTTTTGAATGCTCTTACTGAACATTTATAAAAGGATGTACATTGGTGTATGCTTGTTAGTGACGATTTCCTTCTTGTGGATAAGACTAGAGAAAAAGTTCAAGAAAATCTTGATTTATATGGGTCTATATTGGAGTCTAAATGCCTTTGTTGGAGTAGAACTAAAACTGAATACATGGAATGTAGTTTTATTAGTAGTAGCTCAAGTGATAAAACTGTAGCTATGGATGATCAAATCATTAGAAGGTGTGAACATTTTAGATATCTCAAGTCCATTGTTCAAAGTGATGGTGTAAAGATAGGGATGTTATTAGTAAAAAATCAAGTTGGTTGGTTGAAGTTGAGGAATGTATTGGAAATTTTATAAGATGTTGGTGAAATTTGCATTGCTCTATGACGGAGAATGTTGTTCCTTAAAAGAGAAACATACGGAAAAATTAAGTGTAGTTGAGATGAGAATGCTTAGGTGGAGAAGTGGCTTGACACTTGGAGACAAAATGCGATGAATATACTTGTGATAGGGTTGGTGTAGCTCCAATGGAGGACAATATTATAGAGAGTTGCCTTAGATGGTTTGGTCACATTAAACGTCAGCCATCAGATGATTCAGTTAGGAAAGTATGTATTAGAATCGACTTATGTTAAGAAAGGCAAATGTACGTTGGCCTAAAAAGACTCTGGCATGCTATATAAAAAATGATTTTAATTTATTAGAATTAAATGAAAATATGACACTCAATGGAACACAATGGAGAAAAAGGATTAATGCAGCCGATCCACTTAGGGGGATAAGATTCTTGTTGTTGTAGTTGTTGTCAGAATGGATAATTATGCCCCCAACATCTATAGTTTTTTTTCTTACATAAATTAAAGAAGTGATATTTTTTCTCATGTAATTTAGACAATTTAATAATTTCGTGCATTCTACAATTGCTCTAGACACTCACAATTCACAACTTAGTAAAAGTAATTATAAACTTTACAAAGTGACCATCAATTAAATTAGTGACATGCGTACAAGCAAATTGACATCGAGCATGACAATTGTACGATTGTACATCTACAAGGAGATGACATAGTGTCATGTACCCTATATATAATTTTATTGTTAAATTTCATTCAAATATGTACCGTAATAAAAGACACTTCAAAAATCTATAAATAAGAGGTCAAAAATATAAAAAGAGATTTTCACATTGGGGCACCTCTCTCTCTCTATCTCTCTCTCTTACACATCTAATCCAAATCCAACATTTTACATGCATTGAGTTAATTTATTATCAATCCTAAACTTGATTTACAAAATAACCGGTTAATTTTGATGTGATTATAATGAAGATTTGAACAGCTTATGAAAACAGATTTTGTAAAGAACTCTAATTATTAGCAGTGAAAGAAATTTTTGCCTAGAAGTTTGATAAAATTGTATCTTTGTTGTAGGAGTTTGAGTCGTTTTACGATTTACTGCTATCATTTAAAAATGTAATCAGTACTAAATACCAAACCATATACCCTCTCACAATTAACAAAATAAAATAAAAATTTGTATCCTAGCAAATCTTTTCCTTAATACCAAATCTTTAGTACTTACGCAGCACCAAGTCTTTAACATGTACAAAACCTCTAGAAAAACAGTACCGATGTTTTGATATATCTTTTGAATCTAAGATATAATATTAATATTAGAAAAATGCAATATAAGATATTTATATAATAATTTTAAAACAATAATTTCGTGCAAATTGAAACCATAAACTAGTATGTTATTAAGAAGAAAAATCTTATATTTTAATTATACATACAACAGAATTCTTCTGAATATATATATATATATATATATATATATAAAAAATATGTCTTATGTATAATTAGCTTTTGCTTTCCTGAAGTTCAACTATTTTGTTTTTATTGCATTTTTATTTTTGCTTCTTGGAACTAATTTTGTGGTGAAATAAGTTTTTATAACTAAGGGTTTTACATGATGCAATTTGCTGATTAATATTTTTAGGAAAGAATATATATATATATATATATATATATATATTCATATTCATAACAATCAAATCCTTAAAATTGCATCAACTGTATCATTATTATTAAATAATATCTTTTCGAGACACCAATGCCATAATTTTAAAAAACTAATTTTAGATTTCAGATATATAAAAACATTTTTTTGCGTGCATGTAAGTTTTCAATTATTTATTTACATTAAGAGGCATAAAATGCGCTAGAAGCACCTTAAACAAAAGCACACGGCAGCGCAGCCTTAAATTGGGCCATGGCTTGTGCAATTTGCGGCTTGTGCAATTTGCTGCAACTTACAAGGAGACAACTCCTTTGCTTCCAGAATTTTAGCAACCATATAACATAAATCTTCTCCATAGAGCCATGCATACCAATTTAAAATTGTTTTGTAGAGCAAACTGATCCCCAATGTAACTAAGTCCTAAACATTAATTATATAAAATTTAGAAGTTTCAATTACCATAAAAAAATCGAACAAAAAACGTGTGGCTTAGAAAATACCAGTATTAAATAAATAAATATGAAATTAAGATGTAAATCCTCTCCTCCCTTCTGATCATCTCTAAAATAAAACCTGCATAAGTTTCGTATTCCATCCAACTCTTACCATCTTCTTCCTCATCTCCAATGACAAGAACCAATATTGCCTCCATCATTCTCCTATCACTTCTCCATTTTTCATTCCATCATGCTCCATGTGAAGCCACTATTCAAACCAAAAGTACCAGCCATGGCAGCATCAGCTGCGACTTCTTCCATGGAACTTGGATCCACGAAGAGTCCTATCCTCTCTATGACTCCCTAAGCTGCCCGTTCATCGACCCGGAGTTCGACTGCCAGAGAAATGGCCGCCCTGATAACCTCTACCTCAAGTATAAATGGCAACCTGTTGCTTGTGATCTCCCAAGGTTAATGTTTTCTTATGTTTGTAGCAGATTTCTTATGAGTTTCTTTTTGTAAGTATTAAAAGATTTCTGAATGGTGGGTGAAGATTTGATGTGAAGGACTTTCTGACGAGGTGGAGAGGGAAAAACATAATGTTTGTTGGCGACTCCATTAGTAATAATCAATGGCAGTCTCTGCTCTGCATGCTTCATTCTTCTGTTCCAGATTCCAAGTTCTCCATTGATAGGAAGGATCCTCTCTCTTCAGTAACATTTGTGGTATGATTCTTCAATTTTCTAAACTTCTATTATTTAATTTGTTTTTTTTTTTTTATCAAAATAAATTGGCTTTGAATCTGTTGGGATTTGTGGCAACAGATTGGTTGTGTTGGGGATACTTTATTGCTAACTTATCATTATTAATCTCATCTTCTAACATTATTATATATGGTGGTTGTGAGAAATTAATACTGCTTCATTGATAATATATTTCATTAAGGAGAGGCATCTCGATTGTTTAGAATTTACATTTTTTTTCTTTTATTTTATTTTTGGAAGATTTACATACATATCAATTAAATTCTATGTATTTACGTGTCCAACACAAACTTTTATTTTTACATACATACCACCTTTCCAATGTTGGAATGGTGTATACAGTTTTTAAAGGTTAAAATGATTATATTTTCTTATGTGAGATGAAATATTTGGGTGGTATAAATGTGAAAAAGTAAAACTTAGCTGTTAGATATGTAAATACATAGGAATTGGGCGGTTTACTTGTAAATGCCTCTTTGTTTTCTTGGATGTCACTTAAATATATAAATTTATTAATATAGCATACAAATCATTTGTGTTGGCAAATCAGTGTAATTTATTACTTATTGCAGAAATGATGTAAGGTTTATGAGCCAAAGTTTTTTGAAGAACAATCTATCAAATTAATCAGAATTAAATATATCATTCTGTGACTTCGTGCCATCTCTCAAGAGCATTTGATCAAATGAATTCTATCTTAACATTTCTATTTGAAAATTTTATATATATAACACAATTTTTTTGATATTTATACAGCTAACATTTAAAATTCGATATTGATATTTATCTCTTTTCAGCAAGCTTAAAATTTAGGGATAATTGCATAAAGAGAACAAGAAACATTGTCATTTACACATAAAAAATCTATGAATTATGAAACCGATGCATGTACTCATGTCACGATCAAAATATTATGAATTTGTTGAAAATGAAGAATATGGATTGGAGTTTTATCATGACCATTGATATTTCAGTGAGATTTTGAAAAACAGATGAAAGAGGATACTTGATTTGTAAATAGCAATGTTGAAAAACAGATGAAAGAGGATACTTGATTTGTAAATAGCAATGTTTTGGGTGCCCCCAACC